GGGCGGCTGTGGCTCAGAGGCAGAGGGGGTCGTTCCATAATCGGAAGGTTGTGGATTCGATCCCCGGCTCCTGGTGCCACACGTCGAAGTATCCCTGAGCAAGATACTGAACCCCAAATTGCTCCCGATGCCATGCATCGGTGTGTGAGTGTGTATGAATGTTAGTTTCTGTTCGATGGGCTTTGCCATCACTGAGTGAATGTGTGTGAAAGGGTGAATGTGGCACGTAGTGTAAAAGCGCTTTGAGTGGTCGGAAGACTAGAAAAGCGCTATACAAGTACAGGTCCATTTACCATTTATAATTAATACGTACAAATGGAAATACTATTGCCTGGAAGAAGAAGAAGAGATTTTTGGAAAAAAAGGCAAAGTGGCACAGTCATAATGCCTTTTTTTTTTACTAGGACCCCATAGTAGACGAAAGTAAATGTGTCATGATGGACTTCCGGTTATGGCGCACTGCTAGGCAGACGTGTGACAGAAAGCTCCTATGAAACTTTAAATAATTACTAGTCGGATAGCACTTTAGAACTTAGTGTTCAATTACTATTTGCCTCTAAACTTCAAACTGACTAAAATGTCAGAGAAACTGCAAGTCAAACTTCCGAAATCTTCCACTAAATCGCAAGATGACTCTAGTCAAACCAAACTAGCTAGCTCCGTTGCTAGCAATGACGACCCAGACAGCTCTTGGCCCTTCTGGCTGCGATCCAGACAATGAAAGATGACTTTGTGTCGAGATTTGAGGGGATACTAGGCGCTATTCAGGGAGTGCAAGGTGATTTGAAGGCTATGGCGGGCCGAATGTCTGAAGCTGAAGACAGGATTAACAACAATGAAGAAGATATTGCATCTTCGAAATAGCACACCACTACTTTGAAAGCAGCTAAGGAGGAGCTAGTGCTAAAAGTGGACGATTTGGAAAACCGAGCGCACCGCTCTAATCTCCGCCTGGTGGGGCTTCCCGAGTCAACTGAAGGAATGGATATGTGTGCTTTTTTGGAAAAGTGGATCCCTGAAACTCTTGGTAGACACAACTTTCCTGGGCCACTGCTGATCGCGAGGGCACATCGAGTTTTCAGACTGAACAACAAGGAAAGGGATCAGCCAACCAATACGTGACTCAGAGTGGTGGTGACGAATTCCTGAATTATGCAGACAAGGTACGAGTAATGAAAGCTGCCAGCCGCAAAGGGAAAATGTGTTTTAAAATATGTTTTTCTTGACATCTCTGCTGACCTACTCAAGCGCAGTGTTTGATTAAGCAAAGAGGGAACTGGCTTCACTCTATCAGCAAGCTAGGTTACGGAATAATTCATCCAGCCAAACTCCTTGTGACGTTCAAGGGAAGGCGGCACATCTTCGACGCGGCACCAGAAGCGGAGGCTTTTGTCCAACAGTTGAAGTCCAAATATCCGACTCACCCAGAGGCAAGTGAATCATCTTCGGACACGGAGCAGCGGTAGGCTGGCGATTAATATGGATACACACAATACTGGTACTTGTGGACTGTTTAGAGACTTTTGTTGTCCGGTATTGCAAAACATATATATATACGATTGCTATGTTAATTTAAAAGGTTTTTCGCGGAGCTGTCATGATTGCTAGGCATGTTGTTCCTCATCATATGTACATGGGTGGACCAATGCAACTCTGTAGCCAGGCTCTTTTTATGGGCCAATTGGAAGTGTACAACAGGGGAGGGATGTGTGTAATTTCATCTCTTGGAATGTGAGAGGCTTAAACAAACTTATCAAGCTAAAGCAAGTAATGAGAAGGATCAAACATCTTTAAGCTAAGATTGTCTTTCTTCAGGAGACACTTTAACATCTGAAGACGTAAATAAAATTAGGAGAAGATGGCCAGGACAAGTTTTCTCCGCCTCCTTCAGCTCCCACTCCCGTAGGGTGACCACTCTAATACATAATTCCCTGCCATTTCATCTCATTAGTGTTGATGAAGACAGATATGGGAGATATGGGGGGTATGGGGGATTTCAGTTGTGCTCTTCAGCCTAAGGTAGACAGATCTACGGGGGTAGATTCTTCTCATATGCAGACTAGGAAAGAACGTCGCAAGACTGCAAACACAACATCCAGACGCATTCATCGCCATCTCCGGGGATTTTAACCATGTCACACTGGACTCCACACTGCCAAACTTTCACCAGTTTGTAAACTGCCCCCCAGGAAGAACAGGACATTAGACTGTATGCCAACGTGAGGGAAGCTTACACTGCCACTCCTCTGTCCCCACTGGGAAAGTCTGACCATAACCTGGTCCTGCTCATGCCACAGTACAAACCACAGATCCAGAGACAGTCCTTGACCACACGCTCCTTCAGGAAATGGTCTCCTGAGGCAGTGTAGGCTCTGAGGGGCTGCTTTGAATGTACTGACTGGAGCGTCCAGCGGGAAGCACATGGTGAGGACATCGAGGGGGTCACACACTGCACTACTGACTACCTGAACTTCTGCATGGATGTTGTGGTCCCCACTAGAACTGTATGCTGCTTCCCCAACAACAAGCCCTGGATCACCAGTAATGTCAAGGACATCCTGAACAGGAAGAAGAGGGCATTCAAGGATGGTGACATAGACGAGCTGAAGCGTGTACAGGGGGAACTCGAGGTCCATCTGAGAGAGGCAAAGAAGGACTACAGAAGGAAGGTAGAACATAAGCTGCAGCACAACAACATGAGGGAGGTCTGGGATGGCATGACAACCATCACAGGCTGCAAGAAGAAGTTCAGCATCACAGAAGAGGGGGATGCTGGGAGAGCAAACCAGCTAACCTGCTTGATACTCCAGCTCCCACAACCCGCGACTGCCCACTTCACACTCCCACGATGTCCGTCACCTCCCCCAACGCCACCATCATGTCCATCACTTCCCCCAACACCACTACCATGTTCATCACCACCTCCCAACACACCACTACCATGTCCATCACCACCTCAGACTGCAGACTACCCCAACCCTCCACACCAATGGACAGTTCAACCCCCAACAATGTTAGTGGTTCATAGTGTACAAGAATAAAATAGATTTGCATAATAGGGGACCTTTATAAAACAATGCTTTTGTAACTATACATTAAGGTTATTAAAAAAAAGCCTAAATAACAATAAAAAACAATTAATATTTCACAGATTTATTAACACTGCTGTAAGGTTGAAGTTCAAGACAATGGAGAAAAAAGTAAAAAAAACTGAACCAAATTAAATGGTAGACTTGTTGCCAAGAAACTGACTGGGAAAAGAGATGGCCTAAAAGTTGAATGCATTCAATTCAACTTCCTCCTTGAGGGAATTTCTTCAAATTTAGCATAAACGAAACATAACCATACATTAAAAATTGGACAAAAAGGGTCAAAGGTCAACTTCACTGTGACATGATGATGTTCTGGAAAAACACTTTATAAATCAGGAACAGAAGGGGAGATTGTGCATAGGGTTTTAGCCATAATTTAAGAATTGGTCAATTCCAGATTTCATACACAAGTTCACTGGGAGAACACAATGAGTATACAATAAGTAGCACAATATGGGCTTTCATCTCTCCATTTTATTCATTCTGACTAGCACTTCCTGCCTCATTCTAAATTTTAAGCATCAAAGGAATCACGTGTCATCAAAACACATACTGGTGTGCGTCCAGCTAATGGTGATCCTGTGGTTTTACCTACAGTTCATAGAGAGATGTGAGAGACAGAGACATTTAAAAATGCCAGGAGAAGACAAAAACGTTTAATATTGCCATACACTATATAAGAATCCATCATTACATAGTAATCAAACATGTGTAACTGTTTAGTTGTAGTGTTTAGTATAATACACTATACCTTCAAAATCTTCACCACATATATTATATGAATCTGGACAGACATGGATGTAAACTGGTTGGTGGAGGCGTAATTTTGTTTGTTTGTATTGTTTGTTTATGAAAACAAACTAGAATCCAAGAGAGGACAGAAACATTATCAACCACTAGACATCCTTTGATTTTTCAACATTTTGATGATGTTATGAGGGGCTCAGGACAGTTAGACTTTAATGACACTGTAAGTAGCACAAACATAGCTATGCATATTTATGACATCAGATATTAATCACACCTTGATATATCTACTGTAGAAGTAATAAGGCTTAACAGAAACATTGCCTCACATTAAAGATGTTTGGTTTACAGGCTGATGGTATTTAGCCAGGTTTTCTCCACTGGTTTTATAAGAAATATTAGCATAGCATTCCAGATTGTCTTCCTTAAACAAGTGTTCAGTGAAAGATGAAAAGCTGCAAGGTGCTTTCACATATGTTTGGTTCAGTTTGTTAAGGTTGCTGGACAAATCACATGAATTTGGTTAAATGTTGTCATCAAGGTGTCAGCTGTCTGTGTATATGTCCATTTGGGAGCATATGCAAGCTTTGAAGGTGGGATCAGTTATTCTGGAGAAAAATAGTTTGTTGTTGTTTCATTCCCAGGTCGTCAAATACTGACACTTTGGATTATAGTAAATGGAAAACAAACACAGTGGATTGGAGCAAGCCGCACAACAGAGAGACTCAAGATAGAGAAACTATCTTTCTCCATAATGATTTAAGAATGATGTATAGGAATAATGTGGGGCAGGTTTTTTGAGTGGTATGTTGCATTACACATCTGTCTATCATCTGCCATCTGATCTGACCTAGAAACGTCAACTCTGGTTTCCCTCGTAACAGTAGGGGCATACCTAGAACATATTCAGTTTGGAGGGGAAAACATTATTTTCCTCCTCATCGGGAGGACAGCTCTCAGGTTTTTGGACATCTTCTACCTGCTATTCTTCCTCCTCAGCAAGAGCAACTTCAAAAGAAAGTCTTGTCTTACTACAAAGTCAACAAACCAGTCACTTACCTGTGCTGCTCCACAATATGGGCACTAATACTCCACTCAGACCGACAGAGCCCTGCAGGTCAAATCTGTAGTTTATCTGAAAGATTGACACAGGCAAGCCAGTCAGCAAGGAGAAAAGTGAAACCACAACTTTATTTGGTAATCATGTAATGTAATACTGTCATTCTTTAGTTGAACAGTTTAGTGTACTGAAATACAGTGCAGACTGGAGTGCACCCTGAGTACACGTTTCATAAATGCATCTCCTGTACAAAGATGGTATACGTGACACAGAGACACAATATGCACAAAAAGACCACTTCTGTCTAATGTTTGCTCACTAAAGATTAATTACCAGATGTTAATCTGTGTGTACAGATAGTTTGTCCCTGTGGAAACTGACCACCAGCCTGTACTGGCCTGAGTGTTAAAGAACAGAAAGGTTGCTGGTACGGTCGGGATAAGCAGAGTAGAAGGGCAGCACTTAACTCTCCGTCACATTAGCTCCCAACTTGGCCAACAGATCAGACTGTGGTCATACTGGGAAGCTTGTGAGGTTGTTCTTAAAAAAGAAAGCCTTGCGGTCTTTATACTTCCCTGTATAAACAAAAATGTAGTACATTAATATTCTGTCATCATCAGGGCTGCTAATTTACTGAGAGCTTTTCATATTATATGATTTTTATTGGCAATTATTTACAGTATGTTATTTATACAACAACTCTCCCTCTTAAATCAGACATGGAGTGCTTACCTTTAGAAAGACATTTTTAGTGTCTAACTTCATGTCAAACATTCCTCTCTTTTTGTCTGTGACAGTGCAGCTTTGCTCTGATGACACGTCATAGGCAGCTGAATTATTATTTTATAATTACTTCAGGTTCCCTATCAACACTATACTAACTCTACGAAACTTGTTTTTGTTCACTTTTTTCTGACAACAGGACATAAATCCCCTTCTCTGTGAAATTATTCTTTGAACTTTTTGTGAATTAAACTTTCCCACACACAGAGTGGAACATATATCAGCACTTTGGTCAACTTTGGTTGTTTTAAAGTGCTTAACAAATAAAGTTGGATTGGATTGGATTGGATTGGATATATGACAATTTTAGGGGATTTGATAATCCTATTGATCAAATCTCACGATCATTTAGAGAGGTGGTATTCATCAAGCTGAAACAAGTGATTTAGTTTGTGCAATTAAAGAGGACCTATTTTGCTCTATATTTTTATCCTAGGACACCATTAGAGTGGCTTTGCACAATTCAAGGTAAAAAAAAAAACCTTATATCATGCTTCGATCCCCGGCTCCTGCCGCCACATGTCGAAATGTCCTTGAGCAAGATACTGAACCCCGAATTGCTCCCTGTGTATCAATATATGAATGTGTTAGTTTCTGTTCGATGGGCTTTGACTAGAAAGGTGCTATACAAGTACAGGTCCATTTACCATTACCAGTTCCATACTGGCCATTTATGCCGTCTCTCAGACCACCCTCACTGTCTTAGTTTCAGAGGTCAGTCATTCTGGAGAAAAATAAATGACTGTTGAATCTCAATCCTAGGCTGTCAAATACGAACACGCTGGCAACCCAAAGAGTTGATCTGGGAATGAGACTCAACAATCAGCTCCTCCTCCCTCCCTTGAAGCTGTCTTTCTCCTTATTGGCCAACTTCCAGAAGCCTACCAAGGGTCAACAACCTCTTGCCGATGTGTTCTTGATAGCATATGACAGCTTCAGCAACTTAGCTTGGGAAAAAAAATGATATGGAGCACAGAATTTGATGAATTTTCTGTTTATCAAACCACAAATGAGACTGGATTGGAAGAGTGTTTCTAGGGGCTGGGTCTCACTGATTACTGAACAAAAACAAATCTTTATTCTCTGATTTTGGTGAAACTCGATCCTATTTTATGGACAAAATATTTTTTTCCGTCTTGGGAGTGTTGATGCTTACACCTCTAGTACCGGAGCTTTGAACCACCGGAAGTGCTGGTTTACTTAGTTCAAAAAACTGAAGAGTAGCAGAGCAGTCAAATAATGTAGACCGACTGAATGGGTGGATTGTGGCATCCCTGTAGGTGCTGTGCCTTATAATAAAATCCATGACGAGCATAAAGAAAAAAAAACAAGACGTTGGAAACTTTAACTTATGTTTAGCTCATTATTTGAAACCTTGGCCATGTTTAAATATGATTATCAACATTATATGACAGCATATTAAGTCCCCTGACTAAGTCCCCTTCAAAATAGTTTGTTGAATATGATTTGAATCCTCATACGAGAGGTTTAGGAGAAAAATGTCTCCTAAAAATCCAATTGATTCTGGATAGGCTATTTGTACACATTGACTCACAAGAATCCCAAAGGTTTAAAAACTGTGAGTCTGTAACTTCAAACCATCAAACTAATGTTTGACCTTTGCCAGTTTATTATTCCATTTTAAATAGAGAATAATAGTGTATGCAAATTTCATGGAAATTTCAACTAGTTAAGTAATTGTAATATTATTGCTGAAATTAATTAGTAATTACTTACACTACTAGTTACTAGGGAAAGTAATATTACTACTGTAATATTATTACTAGTTATGCCTTACTGCCCAACACTGGAGTTCACCAAGTATTCTAATTGATGATCATTCATGGCAAATGTCATGGAAGTCAGGACATTAATATCCGAGAAACCTTTTCCTAGATTAAATTGATTGTTCCTGGGAACTATTAAGATGATAGTGACGATAGGGAAAGAGCTGGTACTCATACATGAACTTCACCTGAGTTGTCCCTGCATGGACACAGAGCTAGTGTTGACTGTGTTAGTAATGAGGTTTAATGACAGTCTTTTGCTATATATTTTCTTATGTTATTGTAATAACCATTTGTGGTGACAGTCAACCATTAACGTAAACCTTTGAAATCTACCTTTTATTACAAAAACAATATACTTTCATCTCAAATGCTGAGTGTCAGGTTACCAATATATCATTTAGTGTCTCATCGAAATTAAATGTCTCACTTTTATCACCATATATTTAATAAAAATAAACATTATTGGAGGTGATTAACAACAACAATGGTGAGGTGTGCCTTATCTTAATCAAAATATCAGCTTTTTTGTTTTTTACATTATGGAACACATCTATGAAAACAAAAGTAGGAGGGGTTGGACATGGCATACATCAGACACACTGGATGAACGATAGCTCTGAGTAATGAAGATACCTGAAACTGCTACAGTAAAACGATTGACAGGTCATGCTGATCAAATCGCCCCCTTCCAAAGAAAACAACATGGAGGTCACAAGTCTTCATATAACAAATAAAAGATTATGTTGAACTGAGCAGTAGGACTCACAGTGAAATGGTCTGTGATGTCAGACTTCACAGTGGCTGCAAAAGAAATGTGAGAGTGGAGTGTTTGAGGATGGTCATGTGGCCACGTTGTATATAGGCTGTGTGTGGATCAGTAGGGATGCTCCCATCATTCCACACACACATCCACACTCTGCTCTGTCAATAGTCATGTGGCTTTCATCTCTGTTTTAAGTCTGAGAAGCATCCTTCTTTTCTTTAGTTTCTTCAGTCCAACTCTCCTATCCTTTTGTTGCATTGCTTTCAATCCCTGCAGTGATGTGTTGAAACGGCATACATAGATTAAATGTGACCCTTTCTCCCCTGGTGGGCACTGACTGCTGCTTATTTTGTTTGTTTTTTGGTATAGAAAGTGAGAACATTGCAGGTTGACATAATTTTGGTTGAAGTCTCTTCAGTGGGCCAATAGGAAGGGGAGGAGCTTGTGCAGGAACAGTAACATGATGCAGAGGGGGTTGATGGTGCTCATCACACCACAGCCTGGATGAGAGAAAAAGGCAGATGATAAAATAATTACAACAATTATAGTAATCTGCGAGTTAAACACTTATCTTGTATAATAGTGTTACTGAAGACTGATTAATCAACAAGACTAATGCTGCATTCACATTGATTCAGGCAGACGGTAGATAGATGGGCAGCACCTTCTGGACAGCACAGGAAATACAAATCCTCTGACGGAATGCCAAGACAGCTAAACCAAACACGATGACGATATGTTGCAGTGGTGATGTGATATTGTTTACAAAGAAAAAAATAAAATATTTAAAAAAAATTATTTGGTGTATATTATTTTATTAATTAGCATTTTAATGTCCAGATCGCCCATGTGTTCTCCTTGAAGCTAGGTAACATCCACAAAAGTAAAAATATTTTATCTACCATTAACATTTCTAGTATTCTGTGGCCTTTTTTTTATACGTGCTCTCATCCACTAAAATGATATTTGGTTTCCTGACATGAATGTCCGAATCACATTTCATGACAATCCATCCAATAGCTGTTGAGATATCTCAGTGTAGACCAAAGTGGAGAACCAACAGACACTACCCTCCATAGAGCCTCTAGCATGCTTCGCAAGGCCCAGCTCAGTGAATACGAGTGTCAGTGAGTGAACATCTTTATTTTCTGTGGAGTTGACTAATGATAAGACCTCTGCTCTCTTTCAATGGTGCTGAAATATGAGCCAAATTGATACAACAGTTTTATTTGTATAGCGCCAATTCATAACAAAAGTTATCTCAGGACACTTTTCAAATAGAGCAGGTCTAGACTGTATTCCTTATAAAATTATTTAGAGACTAGGGATGGGATTTTGTGGGGCCGTTTCTTTTAAAGAGCCGTTCAAAAGGGCTCATTTTTATATTTATTTATTTTTAAAGTAGCCAGTCTGGGGGTAACTCATTTTATCTGGGAAATAATCACTGGGAGGAATGATAGGGTAAGATTTGGATCAGAATCATTCAAACTTAGACACCCGACCAATATATATATTCTATTGGTGGGATATCTGAGTTTGAAATATTCTGAAATATTGATTTATAATTTCATTTGGCATGTGTGGACTAGATTTAAATGTCTGATCTGCATTAATTGTAAACATTCCATAAGGTGGCGCCATATCCCTGCACTTTGACAGTGAGATCACAATTATGGATTTATTATTTTTCATTTCGTCTTAGACCGCTGCGGTACTGACTATTAAGGCACTCACGTGAAGGCTGTGTGGACAACTCAGATCATCTATCTATCTAAAATAAACAAAATAAAAATTAGTAGTTTTAAATTCTAAAACGACTCAATCGTATGAGCCCCATCTACAGATATAGTGGCTCAACTAATTTCTTACTTTTGTAACTCAGAGTTGCTCTTTGGCAGACAGTAAATGGTAAATGGACCTGTACTTGTAGCGCCTTTCTAGTCTTCCTCAAAGCACTTTTACACTACGTGCCAGATTCACACAGTGATGGCAAAGTCCATCGCACAGAAACTAACATTCATTCATACACATTCACATACCGATGCATGGCATCGGGAGCAATTTGGGGTTCAGTATCTTGTATCTTGCTCAAGGATACTTCGACATGTGGCACCAGGAGCCGGGGATTGAACCCACAACCTTCTGATTAAGGAATGTCCCGCTCTGCCTCTGAGCCACAGCCACCTCTAGACCGAACTCCTTATAACATTATTTACAGAGACCCAACAGTACCACCATGAGCAAACACTTGGCGACAAGGGCAAGGAAAAACTGCCTGTTAAAAGGCAGAAACCTAGGACGGATCCTTCGGCTCTAGGTGGGTGGTCGTCTGTCTCGACCAGTTGGGGTGAGAGAGAGAGAGACAGAAAGAGAGTCAGACAGACAGACAGATAGACAGGTGCACAGCAACAACAGTAGCAACAACTACACTAATAGTAGTGACTGATGATGATGAACATGACAACAGCAACGATGGGGGACAATGAGAAGTGACAACAGCAACAACAGTAACTGTAGCTATAATAATACTTATTATAATAATAATTAAAGCTGCAAGCAGCGTTGAACGGGATCTCGCAACCGGCGCGCGTCGGGGCATGCTGCGACCACATCATGTGCCGACGTAAGAAGTGTGGACCACAACATGAAAATGTCACGTAAATCAGCTCAAAATCGCCATGCAGCACTTACTTCCTGTTGCAAGTTGGTGGCGTGATCACTGTGTGTGAATATTGTCATGTAGAGTTTCATTGAGATTGGATCATATACACTGAAGTTGTGAGGACGTGTTCAGGGTGGGACTGTATACTGAAGATGAGTACTATCTGTTTGATGGCCAATGGGTGGAATTCGACACGTCGTCAGGGGCATGCGGTTAAACGTACAGTCACAAATAGCACAACTTTTGATCGCCGATGTGTCTAGATTGCAATGATCAAATTTGGAGTCAATCTGACAAAATCTGTAGGAGGAGTTAGTTATAACAGAAGCCCTTAAATGCCGGAAATGGCATAACAGTTTGACATTCGATTCAACCTGGCCAACTTTGAGGGAAAGCCACGGACACGCCCTTTAACGTAGAGTCTCAAATAGCACAACTTTTAATCAGCACCATTTTTTGGCTGTACTCACAAAGTAGATCCGATAAATTCCCTAGGAGGAGTTCGTTCAAATACAACGCGAAAAGTTCGCTGAAATTGAAACTCTAAATCAAAATGGCCGACTTCCTGTGGGATTTGGGGTATGGGTCCAAGAGGCTTTTTTGTGCGTCCCGGCATTTTAAACGCGCCTAACGAGTTTTGGATATATTGGTGAAACGTGGCGCCGTGGCTGCTTTTTTAACATCCTGTAGGGGGCGCTGCAAACACGACAAACAGGACTTTTGGTATGTGAGCTACAGGCACAACTCTACACGTGCCCTGTGAATTTCATATTCATAACTATTGCGGTCTCTGCACAGTGATTTATCATGCCACTACAGCGCCACCTGTTGGCAGATTGTTGACACATTTATTAGCGAGCCTCAGGGAACCATGGGCAAGCATCGTACCAAGTTTCATTTAAATCACACGTGCCGTTGTAGAAAGAAACTTCTTCATTTTAAAGAGCGCAACCTTGTGGCAAAGGCCTGAAATTGTGCACGATGCCTAAGGAAGACATGGGGAACTAAGGAACCAAGCTTGGTGTCAATCGGACATACCAATGTGGAGAAATCATCCACTTCCTTTTTGATGAAAAATCCACAGGAAGTGCTAATTTTATAACGTGCTTATTTTTTGAAATATCAAAATTCTTTGAATTACTTTATTATCAGGACGGTCCCAAGATGCTACGTGAAAAAGTTTGTGCGAATCGGACAAAGCGCGTAGGAGTAACACGAAAAAGTAGTTTATGGACATTTCGCGCTCTAGAAAAAAAAAAAAAGTCTAGGCGGAAATGGGCGTGGCCTATATGGCGAGATTCTGCTCCATTCACCAAACACGTGGATATAAGGTTTTTGAATGTGCGACAAACTATGCAAAAGTTATTAGCCCAAACGCACTTTTCATGATAGTAGCTGAAGGCTCTGGCTCCTGTTCTACTTTTAGAGACTATAGGAACCACAAGTAGCCCAGCATTCAGAGAACGTAGTGTTCTAGAGGGGTAATAGGGTACTATGAGCTCTTTAAGATATGAAGGGGCCTGACCATGAAGAGCTTTATAGGTGAGGAGGAGGATTTTAAATTCTATTCTACATTTTACAGGGAGCCAGTGCAGAGTAGCTAGTACAGGAGAGATGTGATCTCTTTTTCTAGTTCCTGTCAGTACTCGTGCTGCAGCGTTTTGAATTAATTGGAGCATTTTAATGGACTTATTGGGGCAACCTGATAATAAAGGGTTGCCGTAATCCAGCCTAGAAGTAACAAATGCATGGATTACTTTTTCTGCATCTGTCTGTGATAGGATGTGTCTAATTTTTGTAATATTGGGTAAATGAAAAAAGGCAGTCCTAGAGGTCTGCTTTATGTGGGAATTAAATGACAAATCCTGATCAAAGATAACCCAAAGATTCCTGACAGTGGTGCTAGAGGCCAAGGTAATGTCATCTAGAGTAACTATATGTTTAGACAGTGAGTCTCTGAGGTTTTTGGGGCCAAGTACAAGAATTTCGTTTTTTAAAGATATTTCTGTGGTGTGGTACTGTTCCTCTAGTTCACTGAGCCCCGCCTCCAGCGCAGTAAATAAACTACACTTAATACATGTATCATTATCAATAAAGGAGGCAGAGGAATAAGTAAACATCTGGCACACTGAGCAGGACAGAGGAGAGGGAGAGGAAGAAGCCATTGCTAACTGCTAATGTTAGAGAAGCTAGCGTGTGAAAACTTTTGAAAAAAGTGAAAAGTCGCTAAAAGAAGGAGTAGCTCCGAGTGCTTAGGTAGAACTAGTCTAAATGTTAAGCGGGAAAATAACCGCTGTAACGAGTAAAACAAATTTAGATTTAGCGTTCACTGGACAGAGCTACAGCACCAAACGTAAACCGGAAATGAGTCAGTACGCTTACCGTAGCACGTCCACCGCTTAATCTGCCATGTCAATGTCGGCATGATTCATAGCTAAAATAATATAATGCAGACAACTGTGTACCTCAGCAGTCCCTGGAGCTATATTAGGAAAGCTTCACAGCTTTACTGACACATACCGTCTCAAAACCTAGCAGACACTATGGTTACAGTACTTGGCACTGCTTACTGCACCACTGGGGCAACAGTAAGATGAGGTCTGCAGCAGCTTCTTACATATCTCATACATTTGCTACAATATCACTACTGTGTAAGAGATACTGGAACCAGTACACAAAATATTTCACCTATAATTACTCTTTATTTTCATGTTGAGATACTGTGGCATTCATGGAAAATATCAACCAACCAAGATTTTTCTTATCCAAGAGGATCTTTTTGGTGTGTACATTTGCAAATGTTCTCAGTCATGATTCATTGTGTTTTCCTCTCATATT